CAAATGGGTATCACTGTCTGCAAATAAGGAGGGTCACGTAGCCTAGTGTTAAAGCGTTCGCTCGTCATGCCAAAGACCCGAATTCGATTCCGACCATAGGTACAATGTGTGAAGCCCATTTCTGGTGTTCTTCCGCTGTGATATTGCTGGAATATTGCTAAAAGTGGCGTAAAACCCTACTCACTCACTGTTCAAATTGTGTTTACACTGCACACTGTGGCTATTAATGATCATAAACCAATTCGGATATTTAACTTTATTTCTACATTGAGTAGTTGTTGGTTCTCGGCATTACTGAATTTCTGTGACTATTTTGGGAGTTATTCTTTTGAAGTGAAGGCTGAACAAATGTTCATAAGCGTATCTCCAAAAGTATTCATGCTCTCCCACTTTCGTTTGTTCATTTTATACCTGTTTGTTGTGCAGTCAAGACGTACTCATGGTATCAGTTGGGGTTGGTGGGAGGGCATGGTGCTTGCCATGGTCCTATTAGCATGGGTTTAATTCCCAGACTCGCCCTGGTTATGATGTTGTCGGTAACCGCTGTAATGCATCTCTTGGAGCTTTCTTCGCACATGAGGCAAACAGTGCTGTTACTGACATACTCTTCACAGTGGTATGCAACGGAACTCCGTCACTCTTGTCAATTAATGGTGTTGGTTTGAATTTGTTGTTCACTTGGACCGTCGTGTATCAGGAGTCCTTTATCAACATGCTTGAGTTCAACCCAGAGCCGTAATGAGGCAATGAAGGCAAGAGACTAGAGGTCAAGTTGTCATATACTATTGTTTGTTTGTTGTTTCACGCTGAACTCAGCAATTTTACAGCTATATGAAGGCGGTCTTTAAATAATCGATTCTGGGCAAGACAGTCCAGTGATTGACATCATTAGCATCGACCCACATAATTGGGATACGATGACATGCATCAACCAAGTCAGCAAGCCTGACCACATGATCCCGTTAGTCGCCTCTTACGACAAACAGTCACCTGTTACGTCAAGCAGGGGTTGATGAAGACCTCTTCTACCCCGGATCTTCATCTTCATATGCTAACCTAAATGTGAAGGAATTCCTGTGTTAAGACGGGTCTGTAAAACTTGTACCTTGAGAGAATGAGAAGAGTGCAACAGTGTTCTTTAAGCCAGGATGTCAGCATTGTGACCTCTTCTTTGTGATGTCATAGCACTGTGTGATGTCATCATTGGATTGTCGCTGCAGGTTACACAAATCATGGGAATTACATAAATCATAAATGTGCATGGTTTTATTCATTTGCCAGTCATAAGCACACTTATAGACATAAGCACACTCGACATAAGCACACTCACAGACATAAGCACACTTACAGAGATAAGCACACTTACAGACAGACATAAGCACACTTACAGACAGACATAAGCACACTTACAGACAGACATAAGCACACTTACAGACATAAGCATACTTACAGACAGACAAGCACACTTACAGACAGACACAAGCACACTTACAGACAGACTTAAGCACACTTAGACAGACACAAGCACACTTACAGACAGACACAAGCACACTTACAGACAGACAAGCACATTTACAGACAGACATAAGCACATTTACAGACAGACATAAGCACACTTACAGACAGACTTAAGCACACTTACAGACAGACTTAAGCACACTTACATATTGAATTTTGTTTCTTACAGATGGATGTTTTATCCATTTATGGTTGAAAATATTTTGTAAGGTTAAGTGCCAGTAATTATACTTTTATGCCAAACTGTACACGATGAGTGATTTCATATGGGCATATAGTGTCTGTGTGTAGTTTGCATAGAAGTTCATAACTCCCGTCTGTCAGGCCCTCTGTTTGTCCGTGTTTCGTTTCCAGAGCATAACTTGAAAATCGTGAAACAAATTCATCCCAACTTGGCAAATGTATTAAACAGAGGCTAAAGTTGTGCCTATTGTGAGGATGAAAGGATTTGTCATCTCTTGATGACTCTTGTTTCAGTTGGAAAGTTCGAATAAGACATCTTGATTTGAAGAATACCTATCTTAGAAAAAGTTAAATACTCTGAATACTGATAGGCAGACATCTTTGTATAGATTTCCGTTGACTGAAACACTAGGTGAGCTGTTGTTACAGTTGCCTAGTGCCATCATATTGCCATCCATGTCTGTCTTCATACTTATTTATATATAAGACTGACACATTGCACGATCACACCAATTATCCTACGTTCGATCAGAGCCTGACAGGAATAATTTCAGTATTGTTGCTCCTGCAAGATGTATTGTGTTAACAATGCAACCATTCTAACAACATGACCATCCTACCAAGTACCACAATGACTTCTCCCGTAGGGCTTTCTTTGGACAGAAGCCATATGTGCCACCATTGAGGCCCAGTGCTGTTGTTCGTATGTCAATGAACCTATATACCTTTTCAAGTATGCTTTTCATTATGTGTGATTGTGATGCATTTGCCCAGATCTTTATTTTCACCCTTTGAATTATGTGGCCACTTCAGGTACTGTAACATACAAAGTGAGATTTGAATTTACATTGATGTACTAAATTGAAAAGCTCTTTAACAGCTCAGCACAATGTCACATGAGGAATGTGGATGTGAATTGATCGTGTCCTGTGACAAAGATTACCAACACAAGTAGTAGAAGTATGTGTTATCTCATGCCTCAGGTGGACCTTTGTACCCTTTAACCAATCATGACACTTGATACATGGATAACCTTCCTGAAAGGTGAAGGTCACATGATAAACTTCCTGGTTGGTGATCCGGTGACCTTGTTTGCAAGGCCATATATTGTGCTGTGTCGTCAAAGTATTGAATGTGTATTTTGACAAGCAGTATGGCAGTGTTAATCGCCAGCCATGATAAAACGAAAATGTTAGTTTTGCATTTCGTTTTTTTATCTTGGTTTGATATATAGTTACCTGGATGAAAAATATCCTTTTGATGTTTATCTGGGATTTGCCAGGAAATATTATGAACTAAAAAGTCTTTGAAAAAATTGACACTGTGAGCTAAAACCAATCAAAATGTTGTGTGTTTAGATATATTGTCAGTTGTTTGAATTTATTACAATAGAGTGGTTATTGATAAAAACATTTTGGTCCTATCATTGAATAGTTTGATAAATAGGGATTAGACTGTCATAAATATTGAATACTAGGAATGACTGTATTATGCAAGCATTATACAAATATTTATTCCTGGTATTATATTCAACATCATTCAAATGATATTGTGATGTGAGGTCGGAATTACGTCACACTATAAACGATGTCATAGCTGAAGATTGTTGACATCATTCGACTATTGTTGTTGCCTAAGACGGCATTTTTTCTAATGGGTCGCTCAAAACAATTAAGAAATTATGGGTAATAAAGAATAAAGAAGTCATAACAATCGCACATGTCATACTGATTTTACGAAACTCATGTAAGAATTCATGTATAACCCACGATCTCACTTGGGAAGTACAAACATTCTGACACTCGTTTCATAAACTCAGTATGACACACATGCTCGTATAATCTCTGCATCAATTTCATTTGTATATAATGAAGGTAGCATTAAGAACTGTATGAAACCAATCCCTGAATAAACTGCCCTATTGGTGGGGCTAAAACATGTTTGATTACAGAAGCACTCAACCATGAAGATCCAGGGTAGAATATGTCTTCAACCCATGCTTGTCGTAAGAGGCGACTAACAGGATCGGGTGGTTAGGCTCGCAGACTTGGTTGATGCATGTCATCGTATCCCAATTGTGTGAATCGATGCTCATGATGTCAATCACTGGATTGTCTTGTCAAGACTCTATTGTTTACAGACCGTCGTATATTGCTGGAATATTGCTGAGTGCTGCATTAAAGAACAAACATTGGAAACCAATATTTAAACTTTCTTACTTGGAATGTGAGACAATATCTAACACGTGAGCATTTTGTTATCATATGGAGCTTAATGTAATTCATGCAAAGACCGCATTTGCTTATAATTATACTGAAAAATGATTATTTCATATTACTGAACCTCCTGGTTGGCCAGCTGACTTGGCAGTTGGGCTGGCACAATACATCAACTCAGATACTTGTATGTGCTCTTATCTGTGCTGGGTAAGCCATATTTTTCTTAGACAGGATGGTCAAATACCTGGCATACTGACGATTTACAGTTGGCAGTGTCAAGTATGACGCAATTGATGAGAATATTTACTTTTTCGCTACTAATTAGAGTTCGGTGTAGCAGCCGTTAAAGTAAACATTTAAGGTATGAATCGATACTTTTTACTTAGTGTGCGACTGTGATGAATACTTGAATCGGAAAGTAAAATATCCGATCCACCGATGCATCGTGTATGGGTGTATCGTCCCACCACTACTGGGCAGTGGGCTGAACTAACTGTCAGGACATCATTGTAATGTGAAAGATTGAATGGTCCTTAACCTTTTTCTAGTGGTATACAGTGCATCGATAACACTGCTTGACACCCTGCCTGACACCCTGCCTGGCACTCAGCATTGAGGGGCTAAAACAAGGACTGGTTGACTCGGGAGTCGGTATACTGTGTCTGAGTGGGGTATTCATGTTAAACTGTGCAATGGTATCGGAGTAGGCTAGCACTGTAAAACCACCATGACTCCAGGTCAGTACAAGCAGACACATTCGTGTGCATGCAGGTCAGGTCACTATACAAGTGCAATCATTCTGAACACAGTTAAACACCCATTTCACCTCGCCTTGTACCAACTTCTAAGTAGGGGTGAAATAATACAGCAAGGTCCCAACACGATACCCCTGCTTCTTACAGCTAGTGAAAGAGCATCGAGTGTATCTGGCAGTTGTATGTCCCAACACGATACCCCTACTTCTTACAGCTAGTGAAAGAGCATCGAGTGTATCTGGCAGTTGTATGTCCCAACACGATACCCCTACTTCTTACAGCTAGTGAAAGACCACCGAGTGTATCTGGCAGTTGTATGTTGCAGGGCTACACAACGTACGTGTTCCGGACCAACATGGAGCTGCGGGGCACGGGGTACGTGTGGAGGGCCCTGGAGAAGGTGCTGGGGGAGGAGGACAAGGAGAAGGCCACCGGGATGAGGATGCTCGAGGACAAAATGGTGGGTGCCCAACATACTTCAGTCACTGATCATTTTACCCCTGTATGTATACCTGGGAGGAGAGGCGACTAACGGGATCAGGTGGTCGGGCTTGCTGACTTGGTTGATGCATGATCATTGTACCCCTGTATGTATACCTGGGAGGAGAGGCGACTAACGGGATCAGGTGGTCGGGCTTGCTGACTTGGTTGATGCATGATCATTGTACCCCTGTATGTATACCTGGGAGGAGAGGCGACTAACTGGATCAGGTGGTCGGGCTTGCTGACTTGGTTGATGCATGTCATCGTGTTCCAGTTGCCTAGATCGATGCTCATGTCAATCATTGGATTGTCTGGTCAAGAGTCGATTATTTACAGACTGCCATGAAATAGCTGGAATATTGCTGAGTGCGACAACAAACAAACAAACAAGGAAGCAAACACTGATCATTGTGACCCCATATTGTGGGTCCAAAGCGTGGTTCGCCCCAATTACTTTTCAAGGTTTGTCAGCACCATACTCTTGCTCGTGGGTTTCACTCAAGTGGTAAAAGTCCAGCGTCATTTTGGGCTTCCCTCCCACATTAAGCTGGTACGTCGTGATATGACTTGAATACTGTTCAAAGTGCCACTCACTCATTGGTGTAGAAGTTTGACACCTGTGGGGTTCCAGGGTAGAACATACATAGGTCCCTGGGATGGTTCCGGTTTAGAATAGGTCCCTAGCAATCTGCTTGTCATTAGAGGCAACCAAATGGATCGGGTAGCCAGTCTCAGTGATTTCGTTGAAGGCGTGTCATCTTACCTGACGGCCTGTATCGGTCACAATATCAATCACTGGATTGTGTGGCCTAGACTTGATTGTTAACAGACTGACACCATGTAGATGGAATATTGCAGAGTGTGGCATTTAAACAACAAACAGTGTAATAATATCTCTTCTGTGTTCCAGGGCTGTGCATTTGATATGCCATCAGAGTTGGACGGAGAAATTGAGGCAAACTGGACAGATGGAAAATATGATACACTGGTCAAGGCCACAGAAGTGCCGAAACTCCTTCCGCAGTCCAACTTCGGTGGTGGCAGGGGCGGGGGAGGCTTCAGAGGAGGTAACCGTGGCGGCGGCTTTCGCGGGGGAGACCGAGGAGGCTGGGGCAGGGGAAGGGGTGACTTCAGGGGAAGGGGTGGTTTTGGGGGTAGAGGGCGTGGAGGTGATAGGGGTCGAGGGGGATTTGACGGAGGATTTAAACGCAAACAGAGTATATCTTTTGATTCACCGCAGGGCAAGAAAATAAAATTTGAATGATCGTGATCTTTCATGACACTTTTTCTCATGTACAGTTATTGTTTTGTCATATGTGTTGTCATGTTTATAAATATGCATTTGTTTTCATTGAATCTTTTATGAAATATTCATAGTGCAATGTTATATACATAGTGTATATGTATTAAGAAAATAAAACCATGTAAATATGATATTCTGTTTATTTTTATTTTATAGGTAGTAGTTCTTTTTTTAAACTAAACATGGCCCAGTCGTCTTAAGTCTTATGTTTCTTGGTTTGTCCGCACCATACCCTTGGGGTGGTTTCACCGAAGTGGTAAACGTCTAAGACCTGCATTACTTCAGGCTTTCCTCCCACATTAAGCTGACACGCCGCGATATAACTGAAATACTGTTAAACCCAACTCTCTCATTCACTCACTTACTCACTCAGTGAGTGGCCACTATGCCAGCTTGAGACAGAATAGACACCTGGTCAACAGATTCTGCGAAATTAATAGACTCCCAGGCCTCGAATAGGGGACATACTGTACATGCTCTTTCAGAGATATGGATACACCTTCCTAGGTACAAAGACACCTTGACAGGTATGAACACACCTGGAGAGATGGATACATCATGACAGGTACAGAACCATCTGGAGAGAAATATACACCTAGAGGTATGAACACACCTGGAGAGAAATACATACCTAGAGGTATGAACACACCTGGAGAGAAATATACACCTAGAGGTACTTACACACCTGGAGAGAAATATGCACCTAGAGGTATGAACACACCTGGAGAGAAATATACACCTAGAGGTATGAACACACCTAGAGAGGTATGGACACACCTGGAGAGAAATATATACCTAGAGGTACACACCTGGAGAGAAATATACACACCTGGAGAGAAATATACACCAAGAGGTATGGACACACCTGGAGAGAAATATACACCTAGAGGTATGGACACACCTGGAGAGAAATATACACCTAGAGGTATGAACACACCTGGAGAGAAATATACACCTAGAGGTATGAACACACCTGGAGAGAAATATACACCTAGAGGTATGAACACACCTAGAGAGAAATATATACCTAGAGGTACACACCTGGAGAGAAATATACACACCTGGAGAGAAATATACACCTAGAGGTATGGACACACCTGGAGAGAAATATACACCTAGAGGTATGAACACACCTGGAGAGAAATATACACCTAATGAGGTATGGACACCTGGGGGGAAATATACACCTAGAGGTATGGACACACCTGGAGAGAAATATACACCTAGAGGTATGGACACACCTAGAGGTATGGACACACCTGGAGAGAAATATGCACCTAGAGGTATAAACACACCTGGAGAGAAATATACACCTAGAGGTATGAACACACCTGGAGAGAAATATACACCTAGAGGTATGGACACACCTGGAGAGAAATATACACCTAGAGGTATGGACACACCTGGAGAGAAATATACACCTAGAGGTATATACAGACCTGTAGAGAAATATACACCTAGAATTATGGCCCAACAGCAGAGAAATATACACCTAGAGGTATGGACACACCTGCAGAGAAATATACACCAAGAGTTATGGCCCAACTGGAGAGAAATATACACCTAGAGGTATGGACACACCTGGAGAGAAATATACACCTAGAGTTATGGCCCAACAGGAGAGAAATATATACCTAGAGGTATATACACACCTGGAGAGAAATACATACCTAGAGGTATGGACACACCTGGAGAGAAATATACACCTAGTGTTATGGCCCAACCTGAGAGAAATATATACCTAGAGGTATGGACACACCTGGAGAGAAATATACACCTAGAGTTATGGCCCAACAGGAGAGAAATATACACCTAGAGGGATGGACACACCTGGAGAGAAATATACACCTAGAGGTATGGACACACCTGGAGAGAAATATATACCTACAGGTATGGACACACTTGGAGAGAAATATACACCTCGAAGTACATACACACCTGGAGAGAAATACATACCTAGAGGTATGAACACACCTGGAGAGAAATACATACCTAGAGGTATGGACACACCTGGAGAGAAATATACACCTGGAGGTATATACACACCTGGAGAGAAATATACACCTAGAGGTATGGACACACCTGCAGAGAAATATACACCAAGAGTTATGGCCCAACACCAAGAGTTATGGCCCAACAGGAGAGAAATATATACCTAGAGGTATATACACACCTGCAGAGAAATACATACCTAGAGGTATGGACACACCTGGAGAGAAATATACACCTAGTGTTATGGCCCAACCTGAGAGAAATATACACCTAGAGGTATGGACACACCTGGAGAGAAATATACACCTAGAGTTATGGCCCCACCGGAGAGAAATATACACCTAGAGGTATGGACACACCTGGAGAAAAATATATACCTAGAGTTATGGCCCCACAGGAGAGAAATATTTACCTAGAGGTATGGACACACCTAGAGAGAAATATACACCTAGAGGTACATACACACCTGGAGAGAAATATACACACCTGGAGAGAAATATACACCTAGAGAGGTATGGATACACCTGGAGAGAAATACACACCTGGAGAGAAATATACACCTAGAGGTATGGACACACCTTGAGAGAACTATACACCTGGAGGTACATACACACCTGGAGAGAAATATATACCTACAGGTATATACACACCTGGAGAGAAATATACACCTAGAGGGATGGACACACCTGGAGAGAAATATATACCTAGAGGTACATACACACCTGGAGTGAAATATACACCTAGAGGTATGGACACACCTGGAGAGAAATATACACCTGGAGATACATACACACCTGGAGAGAAATATACACCTAGAGTTATGGCCCCACAGGAGAGAAATATTCACCTAGAGGTATGGACACACCTAGAGAGATATATATACCTAGAGGTATGGATACACCTGGTGAGAAATACATACCTAGAGGTACATACACACCTGGAGAGAAATATACACCTAGAGGTATGGAAAAACCTGGAGAGAAATACATTCCTAGAGGTATGGACACACCTGGAGAGAAATATACACCTAGAGGTATGGACACACCTGGAGAGAAATATACACCTAGAGGTATGGAAAAACCTGGAGAGAAATACATACCTAGAGGTACATACACACCTGGAGAGAAATATACACCTAGAGGTATGGACACACCTGGAGAGAAATATACACCTAGAGGTATGGACACACCTGGAGAGAAATATTCACCTAGAGCTTCATACACACCTGGAGAGAAATATATACCTAGAGGTATATACACACCTGGAGAGAAATATACACCTTGAGGTATGGACACACCTTGAGGTTTCCGGTTTTTAATTTCCTTTCAGCATCTGGGATAAGTTTAATATTTGAAAGATGTGTTTATTGACAACAAACTCCTTGTTAATGTGCAATATTTATTACATATAAATACACAAATGTACATGAGCTGCAAGATTCCAAGATGATAAAATAATGTTGAACTTCTTATGTTATCCCTGATCTATTACAACATATCGTCTGGAAACAACTGTGAACAATGGACACATCCTGGTTTCTATCAGGGCAAGGTGTACGACCGCTTGATGACAAAATGAAATACTTCGTGACAATAAAAATAGATACATACTCCATGAAATAGAAAATGCCGTCAAAATGGACGGTAATGTTTGTTTTTTTAAAGAAATACTGTATTTGTTTAATATCAGGTCCATACTACAGTGTAGGCATATTAAGCCTGCATTCAGGCTTGGATGGGTGGCCTTTGTGATGAACAGTTTGTATCCAGCCAATGGGATATACATGTATGTTCTAGCTTTAAGTATATACGTTCTTGGAGTGACTGTTGAGATCATTGTGCGGTCTGCTCAAATATGTCATCATGGTTTTTCAGTTAGTTATTTCCAGCTGGCAATAGGACAATAGAAACGAAGGCTTATATAGGAAGCAAAGAATCTTTAAACTGAACTAAATTAGTATTTAGTCTTCTATTCATATGAACACAATAAAATATTTACCATGTCCTTTCTAAAGAATTTTTGGTGTCTCAGAATGTTTATAAACATAAATTGAGTATTTCATTAATCGAAAACTTCTTACAAATGTAAGTCATTGACAAATATTGGTAACAAATAAGCTTCTTGAGATGTCTGTCATATACAATTTGGGTGAATCAATAACATAAAATAACTTTTATAGTTAGAAAAAATACTCTCTTTTTTTATTATCTACATATTATGTACATGTTACTAGAAAACAAGTCACCCAACAGAAGTGTTTGATGCATTGTAAGTAATTTCAATAAGTCAGTCTAAGTGAGTGAGTGAGTGAGTTTGATTTTACGCCGCTTTTAGCAATATTCCAGCAGTATCACGGCGGGGGACACCAGAAATGGGCTTCACATATTGTACCCATGTCGGGAATCGAACCCGGGTTTTCAGCGTGACGAGCGAACGCTTTAACCACCAGGCTACCCGACCGCCCCAGTCTAAGAGCTGATCCAGTGAAGGCAACCTGTATAGAGGTACGGAGTAGAAATGTTTATGGTCGGATGGGGCAAGCCTGCTGCCCTCGACTTGGGTGAATGGGCAGCCCCACTCTTTGTGTTCAGTGATACAAAACCCATTTTGTATGAATGCCAACTCCAATTCTATCCTGTTTCATCTAGTAAGTATACACAATAGATTTTATTTTGTCTCAAATTTATTCTGTGTAGCTGGAGTGATTCCATAAATGGTTCATATAGGTACTAGTGTGGGAGATTACAAACACGGCATGACTTGAGTTAATGAAGGTGGCACAGAATACACGGCTTTGACCCTGATTGGAACTTGCACAGGTAACAGTTCCTCTTTAACTCGGGTTTTGTAACTTGGACATAACAAACAACACTCTCAACATATCCTCTTGTTGGGTGACTTTGTGTAAGCACGAAATCTACAAGCTGTATTACGAAAACACATTCAACAATTGAAGCATATCAGATATAACACTATTTTTGTTATTGAAGTACTTTTGTAAATAATATCAATCAAAACAAAGTTTGCACTGAACCGCTTCTTTTTGTAATCGTACGATAAAAATATTTCCAAAATATTCATGACAGTCCATATGTTCTTATGTATCAGTCCCAGATGAATTCTTTGGGAAAATAATCAAAATTCTGAGGCTAAAATTATCAAAATTCTGAGGATAATTTACAATTCTGTGGTAAAATTACCAAAATTCTGCAGTTGAAATGACAAAATTCTGCAGTAAACACAACCAATTAAACACACAAAATAATTTCAAACTCATTTATTTTCTCAAAAAATTTAATCTCTTACATTTCGACATTATGGGTTTGGTTTAGCAAGACTGCTTTATGTGGTCATAATACCACAGGAACTTATTGTTTCACATTTCGTTTTATTGTAGGATTCATGTTTTGTGTGTTTGAATCGCATGATAAATGTTTGGGCATCATTCGAGTGCAAAATTTGATAGAAAAGCTTGAAAATTAGTGTATTGATTGATTAAAATAGACAAATTCAGCAATTTTTCGGCAGTTCTGTGTTAAGTTACATTTTCTGCAAATCCTGCAAGAATTCGTCTGGGACTGACGGTCTATGTTACAGATACTGTTTCACAAAACAGCAGAAAAGGAACTGGTAATTGCCAAGCAACTTTTATTGAAAAAGTTTTAATTTCATCAATGTTTGAACTAGCCTGTGCTCAGTCTCTGACGACACAGTTAACTGTATTTTAATATGCCCCAAATTTCCAAATTATTAAAATTACTTTTTTTGGCATTTAAATGTCACTTGATAAAAAATATAGGTTACGTTCCAGCATTTTTTAATCCCAGATTAGAAGTTACTTTGTCAGACCCAAAACCTTTTTAAGGCCTCAGAAACAGATTGCAGGGTCCTGTTGAAACCCTTCAAATTCTGTCAGTCTTTTATTTTGAATATTTAAATGACGAGCTCTTGCATACCGTTGAATTAAACAATAAGATCATATAAAATTTGTAAGACTGCAGGATTTTAAGTGAACAGTCTCCCATCAACTGTCAATCAACTTAATATCCTTTCTATTCTAGTGTTGAAGTGAATAGCTCATTTTCTTATATGCAGTTGAATGATACAAAAAAGAGCTTCGAAGAAGGAATGTACAATATGACTAAAAGTTACAAAGAATAAAAATTCCTCGTTATTGAAATGCAAACCTAGGAAAATATACATATCACAAATTGCCCAACCCATGTAGGATGCTTGTCACCAGTGTTCATCAAGGGATTTTGTCCACCCACGTCCCGACAAGTGGTCTATGTACAGGTCAACCGTTCCCATCGACAGCTATATACATTAGATCCCCCACGCCTCCCCCGATTTACAAGCCTATGACAGCTCAGGGGATTCACCGTGGGAGTTCCACCAAGATACAGAGTATTGAGTCTTCCACAGCCATGTCCGATCCATGTTGACTGATCCGGTCCTCAAGTTGATATCAATCACTGACACTATCATACATTCATATATATAATACTTGACAAGAACATGATACCAGTGATAGTTTCTACTATTGTATGGAACATTAAAATTTATGATAATGAAAGTAAACTTCCCTAATTTATGTTCAAACATTAATTAAATTTATGTTTAATAGAATTTCGACCTGCCAACCCAACAGTTTTTATTCTGATGAATGCATACCTGTCTGCTGACCCAAAACGTGGCATTCAATACCATAAACTGCAAAACTGGCTTTTTTCCGCCTTTCAGAACATTTCAAAATCTACCATCCAAGAATTAAACTCTGGCCTAAAACAGTGTAGTATCTTGGGGTCTACACGGTCATTTCTGGTTTTAAGAAGAAATCCATTCTGTTCCATACAGGAGGATTCACCTGTGAGAACACAAGTATTGTTCATGCCCTTTCCTGTCCTACATTGATACACACATTTCACCTCATTGTCCTATCAGTTAATCAAATCAATCAATTCCTAGCTGACAGGTTAGATAATGTCCGTGCATCAGTCTACTTGAATTATCTCTTTGTTTATAATGTCTTGTCATTCCTATTTACGTAGAGACACAATGCACTTTGCAGTGCAGGTTTAGGACCTAGATAACAGTAACAGATGAAGTAACGAGTCGATCGTTCCACACCATGTCATGATTGCACACTCTAGTTTTCATCACAGTACAAATGGAATCTCATAGATAAAGAATTTCAATGTCTGATATGGCCAGCATTCAACCCTTCTCCACAACTTTTGTAGTTTTATACATTGGCGAAATCTTCTTTCACACAAGACAATTCATCTGGTCTCTGTCACATTCTGCTGTTGTGACAAGAGGCTGGAGGATTCATCTGGTCTCTGTCACATTCTGCTGTTGTGACAAGAGGCTGGAGGATTCATCTGGTCTCTGTCACATTCTGCTGTTGTGACAAGAGGCTGGAGGATTCATCTGGTCTCTGTCACATTCTGCTGTTGTAACAAGAGGCTGGAGGATTCATCTGGTCTCTGTCACATTCTGCTGTTGTAACAAGAGGCTGGAGGAGGCGGTGGTTCAAAAACTTTGTCTTCTGTCGTTTTTGTTCACTGCATCCCCTGTACTTTACACCTGGATGGAGAGTCCGTCAGAATGCTGTTCCTCAAATCGTCTGCGGCTGAGGTTAACTGAGATTATTCTTCGATTGTTCTCCGTTTATTGTTCAGGTCGCACATCTCATGTCTATACATCATTGAGTCTGAGTGCCTAGCGAACAAGCCTTCCGCCCTAACGATCACTCCATCGGAGACGATAAGTCCTAGAATACAACAATTTAGGGTAAGTCGGGTTGATCGCACAAACGGGACAAAACAACATTCAAACAGGCAGAACAGAAGCGATAGTAACACATGAAATCGGTTTGTCTCATTTATGTGAAATAATCTCTGTAACATCCATTATTCAATTTGGTAGGAAAACAATCGTAATTGTAAAGGCAAGTTGCAACATCAATCAGATTACATGATTTAGTCTGATGGTTGGGGTGGCCTAGCGGGTGAAGTGTTTGCTTGTCATGGTCATGTCTCTGGTTTGACGCCATATTGAGACTTGCCAATTGGTGTTATTCTGCTAAATTGGTGTAAGACCTTGCGCCCAAATAAGGATGGTGCCCCTTGCATAGCCTGGGCATCTACTAAGGGACCCGTCATTGATTAAGGCGAGAGGGAATCGTGGTCAGGTGACCAAAAGTATGAGTCTCTCTGGGAGGGTCATGCAAAATAATACATATATTTAGAGAGGGTCATGAAAAAATGATTTTTTTTCATAAAATTTAAAGTGCTTTTGCATTTTGTCATGGAGGGTCGTGAAAAAAATGTACATGGACTTGGGGAGGGTTATCCAAAATCATTAGTGTAGGGTCAGTATTTTCAGAACGTTGCATCAAAAGCCTCTGACCTACCCACCCCTGTAATAAATGACCCATACATAACTTCCATTGTACAGTGAAATCTCAACAGAATTGGGGAAATTAGTTTTCAAATTGATGGACAACAGATAATGTTTTCTTGAAAATAATTGGATTGCATTCTTAAAGTGTTCCAGAATTGTTAACCTGTTTGAAATACAAATTAAATTTCATCTAACATAAGGGAGACAAACTTTTAACACTCAAACGACGACGCTGAATAAAGACTGAGCATGCAACCGGGCTTCACTAGATATTTGACATACGGTATATTAATTAGTTGACAGGTATACACTATCTTACCCAGTACTCGGGAGGATCAAATCTGATAACACATCTCACCTCTTCTGTGACACATTCAACTGAAAACACAAAGAAATGCTATTCAGCTGGTATTAATTTAAGTAATGCCCATTCCTCACATTGAATATCCTTAACAGTCATTTTAAAGAATACTCATCCATGAGTGAGTGAGTGAGTAAGTATGTTTTTACACCACGTTTAGCAATGTTCCAGCAATATCACTGCGGGGAACACCAGAAATGGGCTTCACACATTGTACCCATGTCGGGAATCGAACCGTGTCTTCAGGGCATGATGAGAGAATGCTTTGACCGCGAGGCTGCCCCTTTGAGTGGCTCTGGTGCGCTGCAATTCGCTGTGCAGAGTTGCCTCCCTTGGGCATGCCAGAAACCTATGATAGTGAGGATTGAATCCCAATTAACCCCAATTATGTTTCTAAGTTTCTCAGCACCATGCCCATGCTTGTGGGTTTCACCAAAGTGGTTAAGCCCGACCTGCAACACTTTGGGCTTTTCTCCCACATGAAGTGGCCATCAATCTGGATGACTGTTCACAAAGGTGTTTAACCAAACTCACTCACTCACTTACCCTAGAGTAGGACAAATTATAGATTCAAACAATAAGACAATTCATTCAAGACAATAGCATATGATTTATTTTGTCAACTTCAAACAGCTTTTTGATGAAAAATTAAAACCAATATATTTCTGACACTGCACCAGCCTTAGAACAGACCGTGTGATATTTGAGTGTGGGAAAAGAGAGAGGGAGGGAGGGAGGGAGAGAGAGAGGGAGGGAGGGAGGGAGAGAGAGAGAGAGAGGGAGGGAGGGAGAGAGAGGGGATTTTTTTTTGGGGGGGGGGGGGGGCTACCAACCCAAAAAAGACTGTTCACTTGTCATGCTGGACATGCTCTGTAAAAATTAAACGTGGGTCAAAGAAAAATAAAACAACATATGTTTTGAAGAGCTGAAGAGTCTGTCTCAAACACAATTCCAGATTCCAGGCCTCCTTCCCTGATATGTAAATGTCAGGCCCAAAGGTGTCGCAAGATGCTCAAGCTATCAACCCCTGGGTCCAGACATGACAGGATGAGCTACCATCCACACAGTTGGAGCACAATGACACACACCACCCAGTTACTGTCATAAGAGGCAACCAACGGGATCAAGAGGTCAGACTCACTGACTTGGCTGATGCATGTCATCATACCTCAAATTTTGGATCAATGCTCAAATCAATCACTGGATTGTCTGGTCCAGACAAAAATCCTCATTATGACAAGCATGTGGTACTTAAGATGTATTGGACAATGGGGCAGTGTTTCTGGAGTCTGTATGACCTTCATTTTGATGATGGAGGTGTAGGACTAATGACAGACAGAGGTCTCTGGTAGGGAGCCACATACCTTCACAGCCAACGCTGTCGGTCAGATCTGTCATATCACTCCACAGCTTTGGACAGTTCTCTAGTTGCCAGCTGTTCACCATCTGTAAGGTCAAGGTCAATATGTAGATCCGGGTCAATATGAAGGTCAAGGTCAAATATTGTGGGTCAAGGTTATTGTTCAACTTTCATCCTTGCTGTTGACCTGTTACAGCAATTTAAATGTCCTTTACTCTATTATTCAAAGATTGGAAATATATATTTTGAAAGTGTCATTAAGGTGCCTCATGTTTCTTATGTAGTCAAAAGGCTTGAGGATAAATGCAGAAAAGCCTGTTACATATTGCATTCTATAACTTTATTGTACAACTTGAATCAACTCAGAGAAAATACTTAAATAGTCACTAACCATACCTAGGAATATTTTCAATGTATATTTATCAATCACCAAGACTTGCTAGGGTGCTTAGTGAGTAACTATTTGCAACTGACTCTCAAATTTAACCATAAGTGTAGAAAAATGCCTTAGGAGCAGGAAAAATTTGTATTTCTTAAAAATATTATTTGACATATTTCTAACCAGGGATAATTTGAATTTTAACAGTCTTAAGACAATGTACATAGTTTTAGGGATTTATCTAGAATTTTAAACAAAGTGTCCTTGGCAGGCATAGGGGTGGGGGGTGGGGGGGGGGGGGTCATTATTTTGAAAACGTTGTTTTTTACAATCTTATTTTCTGAAACTCCATGCAATGATGTAAACCTATGTATAAGAGCATATATGCAGCAAACTACAGTTATAACTAACTCAAAGGGACCACTAATTTTATTATACCGGTAGTTCGTTATCAAAACACATTTCGTTATATCCGTCAGTTCGTTATAAGCATGTTCGTTATATAGGTAATTTACTGTACCACCGCTGGACCTGTTATCAGGAAGCTACAAGTCACCTGCGCAAATCATAACATTAGTCAGACATTATGAGTTGGGAACTTCTTACTTCAAATTTGGCAATGGCTGACGTTTGTTGCAGACTCATTGTGAGTTGCACTGTCCTCCTATCATCTGTAGAATTTAAACCTTCAAATAAAAATAGTAGGATCGACTGATGTGGTTCAAACTAATGCTAAAGTTCAATTCTTGTTTCCATAACTAGCATGCATGGCCGACTCTGGCAGTGCACGTGGGGATGGCGTGTCAACAAGGAAGTGGACTGTTTGCAGGCTCACCTCAACCACCTCCTCGTCAGAATAGTGACTGCCTTCCGAATCGGAGCTCCCTGCAACAAACACCACACATGATAGTGGAGACACATTACTCAGGCACAGACACAAGACTGTAGAACACATCAAATTACCACAACAAGCTTGACCTACCCCTAAAAACCAAATGACCTGAAATCAACACTGTAAAGACGCCACTTAAACAGCTGTGTTTTTTAAATGGGTATAAGTTTCAACTGTATGTCCTATTTTCCTTGTAATAATGCATTTTCCTATGCAGGTACACATTCAACAGAACAGATGACATATTACACAGTTATGTATTTCAGTGTTCATTTATACATCTTCGATGTGCACTAATGCATTTTCACTATGTATAAAAAATCTCGTGACCTCATCCTATTGTTCTAGGAGTGTTTTTGTCAGGGTGATAATACATCCTGCACAACCAAACACCCCTACATAATTCTTGGACCATTCCAAAAGTCTGCACAATGCGAATAATTTGAGGTCTATCTGACATGACTCGAATGCCTGACATGACCCAATTGCACAGTTTGACAATCAGTGCAAACACACAATATTAGGGGCAGGTAAAATGCACTTAATATATTACACTTTCAAACAATTTATTTCAACCATATTACTCTTGTTATAGTCAAATATCTGGTATCAACAATGCTGGGATTTTATTCTGCAATCAGCCATATAAACACCGACCAATTTCAACGGACCACTGACAGTTTGGACCCACTTGAAGGGTGGCAAGTCAGGCTAGAATTACATGTGTTGCAGATAGGAACAATAAGTAGACAGGTGAGATGAGTTGTGTCTGCACCTTGCAACCATGTTATCTCCATGGGCACACATAACAAAATGTGTGTTTTTTTCAAACAGAGATAATGCTACTCATTCAGGACATAAACGAACCCTACATGTTTCTGAGGGATTGCAATATACAATATTTATACATAAATATGAATAGACAATCAAGTTGCTGAAAAGCTTTATCATTGATCGAAGGCATTCAGTAGTGTAATTGATTTGTGATGACACCTTTCTCCTGCGACACACGTTTGTAATCCTTAATAGGAGAATATAAACTCGTGGTTAAAAGGATATGTTAATATGCATGTTATAAGGAAAATTAAATTTCCAGGCTCAGCACAAATTATGATGATAGTTTACAAATGTTTAAAACTATTTCTGTTTGCAACTCACCCTCCAGACTGTGGGGTGACACGCTGCGTGCCTGTGGACTGGGGGGTGGGGCGATGTCCCGCAGCTGGAACAGGCTACCACCCGACATGTGGCTGGTCGATCGTGTCTCCCGTCGGGGGGTGGCTGCAATGAAGAGGGCACAAGTCAACACCCATCATTTCTCATCTAGAAACAGAGAAACAAATTCAGTTTTCTCTAATCTACTAAATAACTTTCTTCTACATTATGGTACAAAATGTTTGTAACCCTTTTAGAGAGGTGTGATGCATATCAAAAATTATTTAATTTATTTCAAATAATTCAATTACATATTCTTATATTCAGGTGAGCTTGCATTATTTCAATTTTGCCTCCGTGGTCTAGTGGTGGAGAGTCCGCCCGCAGAGCGGAAGGTCCGGGGTTCGATGCCCGGCCGGGTAATACAAAAACACGTTAAAAATGGTACTTGTTGTTATCCTGTCTGGCGCTCGGCATTGAGGGGGTAAAACATTGTCGGCTCGGAAACAGTGTACTGTGTCTGATAGGGTATTCATTTTATGCTGCTGCATTGTACCTCAGTGGGCTAACACTATAAAATCGGCATTAGTCAGGACTAGTACAGGCACCCATCCCTGAACAAGCACACATGTGCATGCACATCCCAATATAATTGCAATAATCTGCAATTGCAATAATAATTCACATTATCAGTTGTGCTGAAACCAGACAAGATATGCTTACCATCGCTGTCCGTCAACAGCTGGTCGAAGTTTGGGATGGAGGCTGTAGAGAGACCACAGGGTAGATTGTTCTCTGGCTCAGTGTCATCCTCACTCTCTGACTTCACCTCAATCGTGGCCTGCAGAACAAATGATTGATGGTGCATTGATTTGTTTCAATTTCTCACATTTTCATTTTATTAGAAGCAAAACAATACAACTGAGATATTAAATGAATTATTTGTGTCTTTGCAACGGCTATTTTTGTTTGTCTGCAAGTCTGCCCTTACAGACAAAGCAATGAAGACAAAGAATAGCAATACTTGTTTAGACCTGAAAACATATTCAGATTTCACACCTTCATTTGTTTAAGTACAGCAATACCAGGTGAGGTGTACTCGAGGGTTCAGGCCACACAGCGATAATCAGGTGACACCAACGCTACATGCACTCACCTACAGCACTACACTCAGCATTTCTAAACCCACAAACACTACCAGTAACAGTACACAAACACTACCAGTAACAGTACACAAACACTACCAGTAACAGTACACAAACACTTCCAGTACACAAACACTACCAGTACAAAAACACTACCAGTAACAGTACACAAACACTACCAGTAACAGTACACAAACACTTCCAGTACACAAACACTACCAGTAACAGTACACAAACACTACCAGTACACAAACACTACCAGTACAGTACACAAACACTACCAGTAACAGTACACAAACACTACCAGTACACAAACACTACCAGTACAAAAACACTACCAGTACACAAACACTACCAGTAACAGTACACAAACACTACCAGTAACAGTACACAAACACTTCCAGTACACAAACACTACCAGTAACAGTACACAAACACTACCAGTACACAAACACTACCAGTACAGTACACAAACACTACCAGTACAGTACACAAACACTACCAGTAACAGTACACAAACACTACCAGTAACAGTACACAAACACTACCAGTAACAGTACACAAACACTACCAGTAACAGTACACAAACACTACCAGTACACAAACACTACCAGTACACAAACACTACCAGTACACAAACACTACCAGTAACAGTACACAAACACTACCAGTAACAGTACACAAACACTTCCAGTACACAAACACTACCAGTAACAGTACACAAACACTACCAGTAACAGTACACAAACACTACCAGTACACAAACACTACCAGTACAGTACACAAACACTACCAGTACAGTACACAAACACTACCAGTAACAGTACACAAACACTACCAGTAACAGTACACAAACACTACCAGTACACAAACACTACCAGTACACAAACACTACCAGTAACAGTACACACACACTACCAGTACACAAACACTACCAGTACAGTACACAAACATTGCCAGTAACAGTACACAAACACTACCAGTACACAAACACTACCAGTACACAAACACTACCAGTACAGTACACAAACAGTGCCAGTAACAGTACACAAACACTACCAGTACACAAACACTACCAGTAACAGTACACAAACACTGCCAGTACCGTTATACATATAATGTTTCCTTATAAAATATTCAAAAAGCTATTGATTTCTTCTATTGACATGAACCATACAATCTGTTGGGTGTAAGTCCATCGAGAAGAAATATATAAATGCCAAAAGGATAGTGTGTCTCAAGTTTTGAAAAAAATTGATTAATTCAATTATACTCGGTTAACAAAATGTTGCCAGAGTGAGGAACGTGCTCCTACTGGCCACGCAGCCGCCATTATCATAACAAAGCAATGCTGGGTCACGATGACCTGGTACTTATATTGACAAACTCGTTGTATCCAATGCAAGGGGTAATAGTCAACCAGTCATATTGCAACTGCTATGTAGTTTGCAACAAGCTGCGCAACAACAAAACATTATCTGGCCTTTACTTAGAATAAATCCATAACTGGTCACACAACTGACGAGCTGATAAACGTTTCCAGTGAATCAATGCATGATTTGTCTGCTTATATCACGTGCTACAGCAGTACAGAAATTTATTTCCACGAAACGGCACCGTCATTCTAAAAATAGCTTTTTCTGAGAATTCTGTGAATCACGAATGATTATCTTTAGCCGAGACTGAGTCAAGGTTACTCGGTGTTCGCGGAAATGCACCTGTTGCCCATATCGTCAATTCTAAGAAGTACACAGACCTAGATCTATGAACGCCCACAATTGTTCAACGGTTGGTGGGATGATACCCCCCACGTGAGATGGCTTTAAAGGTGAAGTGAATTGGCATCGCATTTGTAGCCAGAGATCGATGCTAGGAACATCCGACAACGCCCTTAAGATAAAACCGTTCACAAGATCTCGTATTCCCGTTTTCATTTCAAATATTCTCTAAACCCTCGCGCGTCCCCGTTAAAAGTCCAACAAGTACTATCTCAACTTCAATTCATCACCAATATTCAAGTCGGTACAATCTTTATTGCCAACAATCCCCGTCTTCAATTGAATCCCTTCCGCAAGCGTCTTCAGTTCAAGTACAGTGATATCTCTATTCTCATCCGTTCCCGTCTTCAGTTCAAATACAATGCTAGCTTTGCTCTCAATTCAAATACAGTGCTGGCTTTACTCTCAATTCAAATACAATGCTAGCTTTGCTCTCGATTCATATACAATGCTAGCTTTACTCTCAATTCAAATACAGTGCTGGCTTTACTCTCAATTCAAATACAGTGCTGGCTTTACTCTCGATTCATATACAATGCTAGCTTTACTCTCAATTCAAATACAATGCTAGCTTTACTCTCAATTCAAATACAGTGCTGGCTTTACTCTCATTCAAATACAGTGCTGGCTTTACTCTCAATTCAAATGCAATCTTTACTCTCTAACATTGTCTTTCATGTCCAGCGGGGAGGGTGAGCTGTGAGTCTACCATTCTGGAACCCCATATCGGTGTATTGGTTTACATGCAGTATGGACACTTGTTTAAAACGTTACAAGTCGGTAACAGTCGATGGTACATTTTAGACGTACACGTGGTTATAAAGTGGTACAGTCAGTATTTTGTCAAACGTGTGTATACTGGTGAAAGAAAAACGCCCCTCCGAGATATTTGTTTTCATACTCTGCAGGGAAATCCTTCCAACAGTGTTCATAACGTATTACAATCCAGGGTAGAATAGGTCTTCAGCAACCCATTCTTGCCGTAAAAGGCGACTATGCTTGTCGTAAGAGGCGACTAACGGGATCGGTTGGACAGACTTGGTTGAGGCATGTCATCGTAGATCAATTGCATGGATTGATGCTCATGATGTCAATCACTGGATTGTCTCGTCCAGACTCGATTATTTACAGACCGCCGTCATATAGCTGGACTATTGCTGAGTGTGGCGTTAAACAACAAACAAACAAATAGCAAACATTACATGTAACAGCCTCCAAAGGAGCTTACACGAGTTTCTGCCCCATTCGTGGCTTTTACGTTTTTATAACAACTGTGTCCGGGGAGCAGGATATGCTTGCCGAGCACCTGGTGTCATCGTGGATCTTCACTGATCCAGTCATATAAGTTGTAGAATTATTTTGCCTTTTACGACCAATGGAATATGTTTCGGCAGCTATTTAAGATTAATTATTTTCTGACGTAGACTCTTTGAATTGCCAATTTGTTGGCCTTTGGAAAATACAACATTATGAGAAGTCAAATGAGTACAGAGTTTCTCTGGGGCTCTTCATACAAAGGAAATATCTACCTGTTCAATCCTAAGATTTCATTTCACTATGCAGATGTCATTAGAAAACATAATATTATACATAAAAAAGTTTGAGCAATTTGAATTGCACCCTGTTCTATTTCAGTTTGAATAAAACCAGTCGCAAACGTGTTTTCCTTATGAAAATTCTTTTCAATTTTTTTTCCAGTCCCTGTAACATGATAAGCACATGAAAGTGTTGCATTAGGTGACTAAGTACTGCTGCACTAACTAACGCTCTGTATGTAACGGAATGATGTAGGAATCCTTTACCTCCTCCTCTTCCTCCTCCTCCTCCTCCTCCTCCTCCTCCGTTGAGTCGCTGTCATTTCGGCGTCTTCGTTTCCTGGAGCGAGCTGCTGGGAATAAATATATATCGATTATCAAAAGGATTATGCTGGTCAATTATGAATGTTCAGTTTTGCCCGACTGCTTTAAAATACATAATAACTTATCACCTAAGATTAAAACAAACTATCAGCTATTGAAATATAACGATGACAGATATTTGTCAGTGGACCACGATCACACTGACAACTCAATTTACCACCAACAAATATATTTACAATACCTAGAAAACAATAGATTATGACTTGAAGAAAAGCAGACTTAATATGAATAGTAGTGCGTCAAATAAATTTATCTAAAACATTCAATCCTAATAAAAAAATAATAATTCTGAAATGCATCTAGACACCATCATGAGTAGGTCGCCCTGAAGCCTTACTGTCTCCAGACGCTCACCTTTGACGCTCCTTCTCCTGCCTTCATCTGGGGTGAGGAATCTGTACCGACGTACGGCCTGGGACCCCTTAGCCAGATGGCCGGGGACCCGCTCCACGTCGGGGAGACTGTTCAGGGCACATCGGAAGTTCGCCTTCCACCGCTTGGGATCCTTGACCTTGTCCTTCTCGGGAATAAATTTCCCTGTAAAAATAAAGATTTAACAATTAGAAAAAATAAATAAATGCTTTATATCTAATTAATTTTATAATACTTGCATAAGCAACATCGAAAAGAGTAGAAATTATTACCCTCCCTTGAATTGATAATATGAGAGAGTGGTGTTCACCCGGGATAGTTGCTTTGTCCAATGCTCTTAATACTACAAATAATCACAGCCAATTCCGAGAATCTGGATTGCCAGCAGCTCATTGCTATGAGTTTTTACCCATTTCTCGGAAGTCGGTTCACAGTTTCTTTTCTCGCTCAATTACGATCAAGGTTTCCACAAATTCAGAAAAGCACGATAGCTATAAAGTTGTGATTTGCAGAGTTTTCTAAGAATCAAACTATTAGCAATTTAAACTGACAACAACTGAATCAACAAGACAAGAAATCTCAGCAAATACAGATTTTGTCACCGCTAAATATATGGATTACACCCTTTCCCTTTTAACTCAACATATCGCCAGCGCCTTCACAAAATAAGTCCTTGTTTCAAGCATATTCATAGGTATTCCTTACACTCCGCCAATTTATTTCTCTTATCACTGTATACAGGCATCAATTCAATATAGGGTGCTACCACGAAATCTCTTTTCAACAAGGTATACCTCTTGTCAAGGAACGTACTGGTACACATGGCTCCTTTTTATTATATTTAAGAACTATAATTTAATAACTGTTTTCTGTAAAATATGTTCACTTCAGAGACGAGATGTTAGTCTACATGGACCACTGTACAAATCTCTCTTCAAATGGGTATACAGATTGTTAACGGCACTTACTGGTATGCTTGGCCCACATTTCAAAGATGCAGGCGTCCCGCTCAATGGACCATCCATGTCTCGCCGCATGTCTCCAGGGTATCTCGAACATGGTTCTGTTCCTGTCCACCCACCTCACGTCGGGGACATTCTCCATGTCCAGGTGTCTCTCCAGCCACGATCGCATCTTCTCCCGATCAATCGGCCTGATGGGTCGACGTCCGGCGTCGTTCGGCACATGACGGTTGGCTGTCATTTTTACTTTGGGCATCTTTCTGAAATTGTAAGGAATTGAACATTTTTTGTCTGTTTATATAGCTTGTTGGGTACTACATTATTTTAGAGTTTAGATACCGTTGATTGTGTTCGCCCGGTCAGCATACACAATCATGCTCACTGGGAAATTGTAATATTTTCATATGCAACATTATCTTAAAAGCATTATGATGAATTTAGAATAATAAACAATTTCATGTTAAGCCTCCATTTGGTTTGAAACAGAATAATTTCCTTTGATATATTTTTTTTTAATCAATAAAATTCTTTTTGTTTTCACTTCTTAAACAAAAACAGGCGTTTATTTCTTCAATCATATGCTTCGTGAACTAGAGTGTGTGTATAAGGCGAACATTAATTCCGTGATTTTCACATACATTTTTCATATGATATAAACTGCCGGGCAAAATAAAGTATACACATGTTTGATGGGGGCAAAATAAAGTATACCCAAGTTTGATGGGGGCAATAAATAAAACAAACAAGAAATGGTTATTCGATGGGGATATATTTGATACGTGTATCATAGTTGGCTAGTTTGAAGTGTTTCGGCGACTAGTAACGTTTGTAATTATTTGGCCGGCAGTTTATATTTCAAACTTGGACGATTATACGATAATAATGGACTTACACCTGTGTCGCAGGTATTATCACGTACTCATAAACAGTACATCATAACGGAAAAGCCATTTATTGACCGAAAACTCATGAATTTGTTCCTATTGAAATGTAACGAGTCAAAGATATTTTCGCGATGGAACAAATTTGATCTTTTGTGGTTCGTGGGGTATTCACACTTTATTTATTTATTTATTTATTTATTTATTTATTTATTTGTATTTATTTATTTATTCTAACCGATGATGGAATAAGTCCCGGCTTTCCTCCCCACAGAAAAAGAACAAGAAAATAGAAAAATCTTAATTCATAAAGATGCCGGTCCAATTTATTTATATAGGTCATCCCCAACGTATTGAGACAAACATATTAAAAAAAACTCTTTTTCACAAAAGATCGAAACTATATTTCGACTCCTACCTTTGGTCGTGCTCCTTCATTGATTGAAAGGACACAAACGTCACAAACAACGAATGTATTGTATAAAATTAATAATTATTTCGAGAATATCGATTGGAGACATTTTTACCCAAATACATATCCGATAAATGGGATTTTCTGTCAGCACGACCGAGTCTATGTTATTATATGAACGTAAATTGTGTTTCGGAAACATCCGATAATTCACATATCCAAACCAAATACAATATAACACAATATAAATTGCTTTTTACAATCCGAGATTTGGTAGTATATTACCTATTAAACTATTGCACATACCGTGTTTCAATTTATGTAAAGCAATCAAATACGGGTGAGTTAATTATGCATTTCAATAAATAAGCTGGTCTTTGATAGGCATGAAACTGTTTCATTATTAACATAAGAAACAAATTACATAATAACCAGTTATAAGAATATTTCTGCTTAATCAATTCTGAGTAATTGCTGAAATATTCTTAGATATTTGAATTAAATTTGAAATAATCAGAAACATAAGATATATTTTGAACTAATTCCGTCATATAAATTATGAATTAACTTGTCACACCACTTAGATAATAATAATAATAATAATAATAATAATAATAATAATAATAATAATAATGTGTTTATATAGCTAGGTTTTGTAGAATATGTTGTTTCTAAAAATGACCATATCTATTTTATTGTTACTCATGAACAACTTTTCAAAATTAAAAAAATAGTTAGATGATCAAGATGATGTTTATTTCTACAGAAATAAAAAAATTACTACTGCATTTTTCGAAGTGATATATTTATATGGTCTGAAGTAAATTCAATACTGACATGGTTTACTTCTACATGGATCATTACATCTCCCTTCACCCGTCTAGGAATATCTAAGGGATTTGCATGTGTGCATTTGAACGTGACATACATCTACATTGGACCAAGTTCGGCTGAAGAAAACATAAATTATCTTACCATTACAAACTTTAATGACTGGCTTGGGATATTCAAATTGTGAAAGATGAATTCGCAAGTTTTCCAAGTTTGCAAGTTCAGTTTACTTGAGTTGCTGGGTCTGAGAAACCAGATTTGGAAGCCAGTTGATAAGAGTCTTTCCAAGAAGCCCAATCCCAACGTCGTTCATACAGAACATGTGACCTATCACGCACCTTGGCCAACTTCTGGAGTTTGTAATGGCTATACTCTTCTACGAAGTATCAACTCATAACGCCTAACCACGGGAGATTTACCGCCCACGCTGCGCCTGCCGTGATTGGTTGTTGTCCGTCACGTGATGCATTTCAGATATTTCCCCGTTTCCGTTCCTGCTGCTGTTTCTTACCATCATGTCTTCTCAATTTTGTGTGGTAATATTTCTCCACAATTTAATATCTTTATTGCAAATCAAACTAACTCGTTTATTTCATTGGATAAAAAAATGGAGAGATATATGTTGAAATCTGATATCTTTGATTTGTACACAATGTCTATAATTTATGCATGATCAACGAAGTTAATTTTTAACAAATATCACGTGTCGGACGTAAAATAAAAACAGCTCTAATTACCTGATCGGCTCCTGTTGACACTTTGATAACAAATCCTTCTTTGAGAATACAGGATTATTGATCATTTAGTTTTCTAATACGCGACTTTTCGGTGTAATATGAATATGAATTTGAATATTAGTGCGACTATATATTCTTATAAGTGAGACAACCCAAATTGGACACAATGTGGAAACCACTTTCCCCTGCAGTTCATAGAATGTACTGATATGTAAAAAGAAAACAATTTTAATGTGATTATATTTTTAGCAGTAGATGTAAATGGAACAGTATACTGTCTTTTTTGGTCGTGCATGAGCTAACATGAAAACGTCAAATTGTCACTTCACTAAAAACGTTTAATCTCATGTAAACAAAAAAAATGAATTTTGGAATTCCAATCATTTTGAAATTATCAGAACATATATTAAAATGTCTGCACATATAAGTCCTTATACAAAGAGGATTTCTTTGTACATTAACATTATACAAACTACCTCAAATTATATAGGTAGATGAGAGTTTGGGGAAGGGGGTTTGGGTGTGTGAGGTGGTGTATAGATTTGCAAATAGTCACCTAATATGTGCAGTCATAGACTCCTAGTATGTGCAGTCATAGACTCCTAGTATGTGCAGTCATAGACTCCTAGTATGTGCAGTCATAGACTCCTAGTATGCGCAGTCATAGACTCCTAGTATGCGCAGTCATAGACTCCTAGTATGTGCAGTCATAGACTCCTAGTATGCGAAGTCATAGACTCCTAGTATGTGCAGTCATAGACTCCTAGTATGTGCAGTCATAGACTCCTAGTATGTGCAGTCATAGAGTCCTAGTATGTGCAGTCATAGACTCCTAGTATGTGCAGTCATAGACTCCTAGTATGCGCAGTCATAGACTCCTAGTATGTGCAGTCATAGACTCCTAGCATGTGCAGTCATAGACTCCTAGTATGTGCAGTCATAGACTCCTAGTATGCGCAGTCATAGACTCCTAGTATGTGCAGTCATAGACTCCTAGTATGTGCAGTCATAGAGTCCTAGTATGTGCAGTCATAGACTCCTAGTATGTGCAGTCATAGACTCCTAGTATGCGCAGCCATAGACTCCTAGTATGTGCAGTCATAGACTCCTAGTATGTGCAGTCATAGACTCCTAGTATGTGCAGTCATAGACTCCTAGTAGGTGCAGTCATAGACTCCTAGTATATGCAGTCATAGACTCCTAGTATGTGCAGCCATAGACTCCTAGTATGTGCAGTCATAGACTCCTAGTATGTGCAGTCATAAACTCCTAGTATATTCAGTCATAAAATCCTAGTATGTGCAGTCATAGAGTCCTAGTATGTGCAGTCATAGACTCCTAGTAGGTGCAGTCATAGACTCCTAGTATGTGCAGTCATAGACTCCTAGTATGTGCAGCCATAGACTCCTAGTATGTGCAGTCATAGACTCCTAGTATGTGCAGTCATAAACTCCTAGTATGTGCAGTCATAAACTCCTAGTATGTGCAGTCATAGACTCCCAGTATGCGCAGTCATAGACTCCTAGTATGTGCAGTCACAGAGTCCTAGTATGTGCAGTCACAGACTCCTAGTACGTGCAGTCATAGACTCCTAGTATGTGCAGTCATAGACTCCTAGCATGTGCAGTCATAGACTCCTAGTATGTGCAGTCATAGAGTCCTAGTATGTGCAGTCATAGACTCCTAGTATGTGCAGTCATAAACTCCTAATACGCGCAGTCATAGACTCCTAGTATGTGCAGTCATAGACTCCTAGTATGCGGAGTCATAGACTCCTAGTATGTGCCGTCATAAACTCCTAGTGTGCGCAGCCATAGACTCCTAGTGTGTGCAGTCATAAACTCCTAGTATGTGCAGTCACAGACTCCTAGTATGTGCAGTCATAGAGTCCTAGTATGTGCAGCCACAGACTCCTAGTATGTGCAGTCATAGACTCCTAGTATGTGCAGTCAAAGACTCCTAGTGTGCGCAGCCATAGACTCCTAGTATGTGCAGTCATAAACTCCTAGTATGTGCAGTCACAGACTCCTAGTATGTGCAGTCATAGACTCCTAGTATGCGCAGTCATAGACTCCTAGTATGTGCAGTCATAGACTCCTAGTATGTGCAGTCATAGACTCCTAGTATGTGCAGTCATAGACTCCTAGTATGTGCAGTCATAGACTCCTAGTATGTGCAGTCATAGACTCCTAGTATGCGGAGCCATAGACTCCTAGTATGTGCAGTCATAGACTCCTAGTATGTGCAGTCATAGACTCCTAGTATGTGCAGTCATAGACTCCTAGTATGCGGAGTCATAGACTCCTAGTATGTGCAGTCATAGACTCCTAGTATGTGCAGTCATAGACTCCTAGCATGTGCAGTTATAGACTCCTAGTTTATGCAGTCATAGACTCCTAGTTTGTGCAGTCATAGAATCCTAGTATGTGCAGTCATAGAGTCCTAGTATGTGCAGTCATAGACTCCTAGTATGCGGAGTCATAGACTCCTAGTATGTGCAGTCATAGACTCCTAGTATGTGCAGTCATAGACTCCTAGTATGTGCAGTCATAGACTCCTAGTATGTGCAGTCATAGACTCCTAGTATGCGGAGTCATAAACTCCTAGTGTGCGCAGCCATAGACTCCTAGTGTGTGCAGTCATAAACTCCTAGTATGTGCAGTCACAGACTCCTAGTATGTGCAGTCATAGAGTCCTAGTATGTGCAGCCACAGACTCCTAGTATGTGCAGTCATAGACTCCTAGTATGTGCAGTCAAAGACTCCTAGTGTGCGCAGCCATAGACTCATAGTATGTGCAGTCATAAACTCCTTGTATGTGCAGTCACAGACTCCTAGTATGTGCAGTCATAGACTCCTAGTATGCGCAGTCATAGACTCCTAGTATGTGCAGTCATAGACTCCTAGTATGTGCAGTCATAGACTCCTAGTATGTGCAGTCATAGACTCCTAGTATGTGCAGTCATAGACTCCTAGTATGCGGAGCCATAGACTCCTAGTATGAGCAGTCATAGACTCCTAGTATGTGCAGTCATAGACTCCTAGTATGTGCAGTCATAGACTCCTAGTATGCGGAGTCATAGACTCCTAGTATGTGCAGTCACAGAATCCTAGTATGTGCAGTCATAGAGTCCTAGTATGTGCAGTCATAGACTCCTAGTATGCGGAGTCATAGACTCCTAGTTTGTGCAGTCATAGACTCCTAGTATGTGCAGTCATAGACTCCTAGTATGTGCAGTCATAGACTCCTAGTATGCGGAGCCATAGACGTTAGTATGTGCAGTCATAGACTCCTAGTATGTGCAGTCATAGACTCCTAGTATGTGCAGTCATAGACTCCTAGTATGCGGAGTCATAGACCCCTAGTATGTGGAGTCATAGACCCCTAGTATGTGCAGTCATAGACTCCTAGTATGTGCAGTCATAGACTCCTAGTATATGCAGTCATAGATTCCTAGTTTGTGCAGTCATAGAATCCTAGTATGTGCAGTCATAGAGTCCTAGTATGTGCAGTCATAGACTTCTAGTATGTGCAGTCATAGACTCCTAGTATGTGCAGTCAAAGACTCCTAGTGTGCGCAGCCATAGACTCCTAGTATGTGCAGTCATAAACTCCTAGTATGTGCAGTCACAGACTCCTAGTATGTGCAGTCATAGACTCCTAGTATGTGCAGTCATAGACTCCTAGTATGCGGAGTCATAGACTCCTAGTATGTGGAGTCATAGACTCCTAGTATGTGCAGTCATAGACTCCTAGTATATGCAGTCATAGACTCCTAGTTTGTGCAGTCATAGAATCCTAGTATGTGCAGTCATAGAGTCCTAGTATGTGCAGTCATAGACTCCTAGTATGCGGAGTCATAGACTCCTAGTTTGTGCAGTCATAGACTCCTAGTAGGTGCAGTCATAGACTCCTAGTATGTGCAGTCATAGACTCCTAGTATGCGGAGCCATAGACGTTAGTATGTGCAGTCATAGACTCCTAGTATGTGCAGTCATAGACTCCTAGTATGTGCAGTCATAGACTCCTAGTATGCGGAGTCATAGACTCCTAGTATGTGGAGTCATAGACTTATAGTACGTGCAGTCATAGACTCCTAGTATGTGCAGTCATAGACTCCTAGTATATGCAGTCATAGATTCCTAGTTTGTGCAGTCATAGAATCCTAGTATGTGCAGTCATAGAGTCCTAGAATGTGCAGTCATAGACTCCTAGTATGTGCAGTCATAGACTCCTAGTATGTGCAGTCAAAGACTCCTAGTGTGCGCAGCCATAGACTCCTAGTATGTGCAGTCATAAACTCCTAGTATGTGCAGTCACAGACTCCTAGTATGTGCAGTCATAGACTCCTAGTATGTGCAGTCATAGACTCCTAGTATGTGCAGTCATAGACTCCTAGTATGCGGAGTCATAGACTCCTAGTATGTGCAGTCATAGAGTCCTAGTATGTGCAGTCATAGACTCCTAGTATGTGCAGTCATAGACTCCTAGTATGTGCAGTCATAAACTCCTAGTACGTGCAGTCATAGACTCCTAGTATGTGCAGTCATAGACTCCTAGTATGTGCAGTCATAGACTCCTAGTATGTGCAGTCATAGACTCCTAGTATGTACAGTCATAGACTCCTAG